GCACCGGGTCCGACACTACACTGCACCGCAAAGGTATGGTAACTGTACTTAAGCGTCAGGTACTGTATGTATTTAACTGTCACTACGCGCAAATAAAAATATACGTATACGAGTACAAGCATGCATATGATCAGAGCGCGTCAAAACAGTATGCGGTGTGATTAAAATCAGGCAGTATCTGTCAGCGCCTGAGAACGTGCGGTAACAGCCTACGCGGAAACAAATATTATGGTACGAGTAATGTAACTTACACTCGTATGGACACAGCGAGCCAACAGCATGCTTTCTGAATAAAATCAGATCAGCAACGATTGTTAGCATGCAACCTGTCTGTTCAGTCATCCCCTGCACCGTACCGGCCCCGCACGGCGCTGTTCCCCACACCACACACCGGACCGGTGCCCAACACCACACTTCACCGCACAGCGACGCACAGGTACTGTCTGTATTGTACTGTCACTACTCGCAAACAAATATATATTGTACGAGTACTGTACTTTGCACACGTATGGCCAAAACGTATACTTTGTACTCATATAGACAGAGCGCGCGAAAACAGTATGAAGTCTGATTAAAATCAGTCAGCATCTGCCTGTGAAGCAGCCTGTCTTCTCAGTCATCAAACGCCTAAGCAAAATCAACTTATTTTTTGATTAATATTACAGATAAGTTTATTTGTACCTATGAGCATTAACACTAGATTTACATACTGGTCAGCACAAACAATATATACCTACCGGGCGGGACGGAGCTGCATATCCACCGGGAACAGCTGCGCTACAGTGTCGTGAATCATATGTTGCTCGCATATTTACAAGCGGATATTAGCAATTAATATGATCATATTGATGTACAGATACCGTGCTTCAACTACAAAAGAGGGGCATTTAACACTTTTCTATGTAATATGTGGGATCTGCACATCGATTCTCTCTCCAAATAGTACGCAACTACACCGCATTAAATCCGGCCCCAGCAGCGGCGACCGCCCCAGCTCCGGTGACACAACATAAGTGTGACGAGTTCTTTTACCTGTGTGTGACTTACTGTGTGTTGTGTGTATATGAGCCCTAATGAAAGGTCAACGATGACCAGTACCTATGTAATTACAAACGAACCAAACAACCAGGTGTGCACGACCTTTTAATAATCTTTGACCATTGCCCACTACAGTATAATTATTATTAGCTGATCAGTATTTTAGAAAAGACTCGAATGAGTACTAGACTGAATTGAATGCCTTTGATGGGCTCTTTATATATGGATCCGGACCGGTTAGAGTGTGATCGTGACTCATCCTTATGATGTCATTATGATGTAAGAATGAGTAATTATGACGCAGTTATGACTGCATTGTCCTTGGCGTTCGACCTTGACGGGCACGTGGTGGCCTCATGTATGTGAGTCATCGTGACACCGGCTATCGCCCAGCACCGGCACCCGCACGGTTACTATACGACATATAAAGAGAGATTGCAGTGGGCTCAATAAAACTAGTTTGAAATGTTAATTAAAAAATATCAAGTATAGTAACCGAAAAATACGGTTACTACACGACATATAAAGAGAGATTGCAGTGGGCTCAATAAAACTAGTTTGAAATGTTAATTAAAAAATATCAAGTCAAAAAATTGATAAACAGAATTCAAACATAATTCCATAATAATACAAATTATTATTTTTATCCCGCAATTCTTTAGGTTATCCGTACAATCCATTCATTTCGATGGTGGCAATGGGGTGGTTTGCAGAAATATTATGGTAAAAGTAAAGTTAGCAAACACATACAGACAATGTTCACACGATAGAACAAAGGCAAATAACAAAGAAGTGCTATTACAAAGGCAAAACACAAAGAAGACTTAGATACAAAAAACATAACATATAAAACATTTCTATCAGTAAAAATTGCGAATTTTAAGCATCATGGCAGACCAGTAATTCAAGAAAGATAATTTCTGAAAACTGAGCTGCAAGTTTGCCAGATAAAAATGAAAACAGATAAAGTATATGCTCATCAATTTATAGAAGCTTCTCAATCATCGCTCTTTCCACGAATGCAATAAACTATTCAACTCAAATCTTTCAAATATTGTACAGTTGTCATTAATAACAAAAATAAATACAGAAAATAAATTTTTGAATTCCCAGGATCAATACAAAACAACAGTGACGACGTATGTATATATGCATACTTACAAAATGAACTGAAACTCAAACTTTTGTTACTATACGGTACGATTATACTAACAATTATTGCTTTTCGTTCTATGGTGCATTTAATAATATATTTTCTGCTTCGTTCACTATTTCGAAATATTTGTTTTTTTACTATGGGGTACGGACTTCTGCCTGCGACACTTTTTGATATGTCTGATCGATGCCGAATTCACGATGATAGACGTTGTGCATTGGCCATTCTGTATCGCAATGATAGCAGCTTGCTTCACGATCATTTGATTCTTCCAGTTCACGCTGTGTTTGGGTGCAGTTGTTGCTTGTTCTTCTGTTGGGCTAACCAAATGAAAACTCCACGTTCAGAATTTTTGTCATCTTTTCTAAAAGGTCGTCAATTTTTTTCGCCATTGCATCGGTTTGCGGGGATTGTTTCTTGGCAACATTTGCAAATGGCAGGCTTAAAGTTACTGCTGGTGTTTCCAAATTTCGTTCTCGGGTTCTGTATTTTACGGGATACAAATCTTCGGCCACTTCCAAAACGTTTTTTGGTGTCTTTTTACCCATGATGCGTAGTTGCATCGCTGTTTGCTTGTCCCTCATTCCTTTTAGTATGAAATATCCTATTTCTGTTTGTTCCATATTTGCGTCTGCGTGTTTGCATAAGTCCAGGATGGAAAAGTAATACGTCCGAAAGTCCTCATCGGTTCCTTGCTGCCTCGATATCAACATATCGATGGCTTGCTCTGGTGTACCCACCTTTCCGAAAGTTTTAAGAAATTCTGTTTCTACTGCATCCCATCCGGGTGCAGCATTTGCTGGACGATTTTTTATCCATTTTATTGCGGTACCAGCTAATACTTCGGGCAATCTTCTCGCTTTCGTGGCGTCGTCCCACGCATATGACTTCGCGCATCTAAGGTAAGATTCTAGCCAAGTTTCCGCGTCCTCATGTGGGGCGGCAGAGAATGGAGGGGGTAATTTAATCTTTGGCCCCTCTGCCATTCTTTGACGTTCTTGTTGTCCGTTCAAATCGTCGTCCTCCACTTTATCTACACTTTTAATTAAAGGTAAATTTCCGTTTTCTATATCCTCCTCTTTATCTTTTGGTGTATTCGCCTCTTCCAATTCTTCGGTATCTGATTCTTCTTCACTTGCGTCCTCTATAAACGCAGTCTCGTGTAAATTCTCTTCCTTTTCTTCCTCTTCAGTAAGGTCCTCGTTAATTGTTTGTTTCGGATTTTCTTCCGAATTTTCTTCGAGGCTTGTGTCTGGGGAAATTTCAGGGGTTTTTATCCTATCTGAAGCTCTTTTCACTTCCGGAATGCTTCTTTTGTTAACCAAATTACTGCTGCCTCCTGGATTCCAATATTTACTGTTAATCTGTTCTTCTGGTACTATTGGTGGCGGCAAGTTTTTTAGTCTGTTTGAGACGCGCTAAGCAACTGTGCTATTTTTTAAAATACTGCGCTGTTCTTGTGGTTTTTTAGGCGCCAGTTTGATTCATAATTAACAGAAAATAAAAGTTGCAATTTTCGTTATTTTTATATCTGTGTCAAGATAATTCACAATGTACGAACAAAATGTATATTTTATATTGCATATTATTAGTAACAAGCTGATACTATATAACACCTGCTTTTGCTTCGCTCGCTTATGTCGACTGCGGTTGCGATGTTCTATACTAGTATTCACAAATCTATGTTAATCCCTAGCGCCTATGATAATCCCCTCTCGTAGGGCCTATGATAATCCCTGCTCGTAGGGCCAATGATAATCCCCAAGGCCTATTATAATCCCTAGCGCTTATATTTATTACATACAATAGCGAACTTTATCAGTCAGACTGCACAGAGGACTCGAGCAGTGTTACTTTTCACGCATCAGTGGAGCCATGTGCTCACTTGATAAATCAAGCACAGGTTGAGACACATACATGTGTTTTACAGTCACACTTATTTGTGGATAATATACTGTGCTTACTGTCCTGATCACATTGCATACATACAAGCACTACGGATTTATTGTACAATTATCGTACTGGTGTAGTGCAACGACTATTATACTGTACTTTGTTGAGGAGTGCTGCTTTATTGTTTTTCGGATTACTACGATACAATGTAAGTGACAGCTTTTAATTAGTGTACAGTTTATCAGTGCACAGTTTAATTAGTGTGTAGTTTATCAATTACTAAGAGTAGTGCACGGTGCTTAATTAATGTGCAGATTTCGCTTTCCTACTATGCTTGTTTTAATTTTATCAGTACGGCTTCATTGGTTTCCTATAGTATGTACTATAATGTTTGTTATTTACCTGTAAGTTTCTTAACACGGGCTCAATCTAAACTACGACTATCTGTATACAACTGTGTTATTACGGACCAGGTAACAACAACAGTGAAATACCTGTGTCGTGTGCGACAATCTGTAATGAAAGTGACCTATGGTCAGTAGGACCACTTCACAATACCTGTGCCGCAAGTGGGCTTTATTCCCAAATTTTTCCTCCCGGGGTATCCGAATTTTGTTCAAATTTCCAATAATGTGTGCACGTACTTCAAAATTTTATCCAAAAGAATACAATAATCCAGGTGTATTAATTATCAAATTCACGTCAGGTAAGTAAAACAATTAAGTGGTCACATTGTGGGCTTCGCACACATTGTGTACGTCTGTTGACATACAGGTTCGTACACTTATGTAATGCCTTTGTGTTCTGTTCTTTAGCCAACGTGTTGCACAACACGTTGGCCGGTTTTGCCGTCTTGAGTTGTATAAAGTATGCCGCCTCTCGGTAGAGAGCATGGCATTGCAGTGGTTTTGTTCTTGGCGCGTATAGACATTTAGGCCTTTTTGTGGGCGAGCTCCCACATTGGTAGCAGATCGTGGTTTTTACGCTCCTGATTTTATATACCGTGTATAAAGTGACCTTTTTATATAACTAAATATCGCTCTATCGAAGGGGAGCTCGCCCACATAATACTTTACGGATTACCACCCATGGCTTGGATGTCCCACCCGCTTTTTACAACAACATACCGTCGATTCAGTATCCCTAGTAAGCTACTCTAATCGTTGCCCAATGTTTAAGTTTTTGTGCAGAAACAAACAGATTATTCGCGAGTCTGCCTAGTATTATACCTAATTAAATTTGGTGAATTACGACTTTGTCTGCCCGTTTGCTCAGTTAAATTTGCCCATACGATTCTTTGAAAGTTGCGCATATTTGTTACTTGTGGCCATTTTCTTTGTGTTTTTAGTGCACAATCAAATGAATTTTGCATTTATACACTGCCGGCCTAATTTTGTTTTCTTCGATATTAATATTACAGATGTTACTCAGTGCACAGAATTTATTACTGGCAAAGTTGCCCTAAATTTTTATCAATGGATCCTTTTCTTTTACCGAAAGTTGACCTATTGCGCGATTTAAACTTCTCTATCTCGGGATAGGTGATGCTGTGTGGAGTAGTCCCACTATTAACGGTGCGCGAGGCGTGGGACCCTTGCAGGTTAGTATACTACACAAAGCAACGCTTATATCTGTGTTGACAAAATTGAATTAACTACGTGATACCAAAAACTGCGCATTAACTGATTTTGTTTATTAATTCTGTCGACAAACTTGTTCAACAACTGAAAATGCAAAGCGCTTCCTTTTAAACTGGCTGTATTGCCGCCACCGGTTGGATATTTCTTTCACTGTTGGCAAAATTCACCGAAAATTTCGAACCTTTTCTGAAACATTATTCTCTTTTTCGGGCACATTCTGGGGGCAGTCATGAAATCTTTTCATGCAAAATTTCACCTTAAAAGAGCAAAAAAAAATACAATAATTTTACACAGTGTACGGGCTTCGTAACCAACAATTTATTGCTTAAGCACCAAACTTGCTGATTAAGTAACCAAGTATTTCGCACCCTGGTACTGAGACTTTGATTAGACGTTCTATTTTGAAGTCGTTTTTTTGACTGACTTTTGTTTCTTCACTCATGGGTATTATTACATAAACAAGAATTACAAAACTGCTAAATTCCTCGTTTGTTCACTCGTAATAAAATTCGTTCTCTCGCCACCGAAAGTACGGCGACGTAATTACCAATATTTTAGTGCCAAAAAACGTCGTGTATTGCGTAAAAACAAGAACAATAACGTCCGTTGTACTTACTTAACTTGGTGCCAGCTAATAATGTTAGGTAATAAATTGGCTAACGAACGACCGAAAAATGTACGTTCGGTTACGGTTACATCAGTAACTTCCTCTTTGTAATTATTAATAGAACCGTTTCACCTGTCTTGGCCGTTGGTTTTATGACTTGGCAACAAAACAAATTTTTTTGTGATATAACATTTTATGTTATCAAAACTGTTATGCAACAGCTTTAATGAACGCAAAATTCTTCCTATAAAACCATTATTCTTACATCTTGACTAGTCATTTACGATGCAAACATTCCGTCAGCAATTTGACCTTTCGTCAGTTCTACTAACCTATCATGCCCAACACCGAATGTTTGAACTGTGGTGGTTGGGGTCACCACTATAGCATCTGCCCATCACCCCGCACTTGTTTTCGCTGTCACATTGAAGGGCATACAGCCCGGGACTGTGACGCTGACCTTAATGACGAAGGTAAGCTGTACGATACCTGCCCTATATGCGATGAAGGAGTGCTCATCTCTCCAAATGAATGTGTGGAAGAGTTGTGTTGTGACCTTTGCGACTACTATGAGCATGATATTAACACATGCACATGCCCTCCCACTTAAGTAAAGTCAACATTGGCAAGTAAGTTCCGTACTAGATTTGTTCTGCTTGGCCAATATTTTAATATCAAAGAAAAGTAGTCCCAGTCATGTCTTGTATCCTTTTTGTAAAAGCTTCCTTATCTTTTAGATCAAATTTTTTAATCAACAAAAAATAAAAATTATTTGTTCTGTTTCATCAAACTGTTCTTGGTATCTGTTCTTAGTGATGCAAAGCTCTTCTAAAAAAAAGATCGCCTATGCAACTCATGCTTTAATTGCAGCAAAAGATCGCATTAGCGACATCTTTCCTATTACATCAGTTGAAAGGTCGCATGAAGCGACAAATAAAAATTTTCTTTACCTTAAAAGATCGCACGAAGCGACATTTAACTGTTTTTCGTTCATCAAAAGGTCGCATGAAGCGACAAATAAAAATTTTCTTTACCTTAAAAGATCGCACGAAGCGACATTTAACTGTTTTTCGTTCATCAAAAGATCGCATGAAGCGACAGATAAAAGTTTTCTTTACCGCAAGATCGCAAGCAGCGCCATTTAGTTTAGTTGCGCCATTTAGTTGTTCTATAAAAGATCATAAAGCGACACGTGAAATTTGTTTTATTTAAAAAGATCGCAGGAAGCGACAAGTAATTTTTTATTATTCAAAAGATCGCTTAAAGCGACAAATAAGATTTTTTTATTCAAAAGATCGCAACTACCGACACTTAATTTTACGATTTAAAAGATCGCATAAGCGACAATGCAGATTTTCAACACCATTTAGAAAGATCGCATAAAACGACAATTACGTTTCCTATATTACCCAAAAAAATCGCATAAGCGACAGAATTGTAAGATGCCTGCAAATATTTACCTTCAAAGATTGTATACACCATCATATTTACCCTAACTGTGAACGCTTCACAGCGTCTTTTCTAATGTTCGATTTTGGTTCTGCTGTTCCGGTTTTTCTTGTGTACGATTTCTTTTAACTGTTAGCGCGTTACACTACACCGGTCAATTACTGTTCAACTTTACTCCGCTTTCTATACAAATTCTTTATGTAAGCGCTTCACAGCGATTTCTTTTACCTTTTAGTAGTACAGAAGTGTTATTAGTGTGTCCAATGTCGTTTAACTACTTGAATCGGTAAACACTTTCTCCGGTTGCACTCTTGTTCTACATTCACAATACGCGAATACATGCAGTTAATCCGAAGATACGTGCAGAGTGCAGCAATGATACCGCTTCACAGCCAGCCAGTCGAGAATTTTTGCCGCCTTGTACTCAATCGCCTCAGGCAGTAAGAATTTCATCGCTTTCTGCGCATTACTGGACCACACTTCTATTTCAATCATAACAAAAATGGATCATCACCGTCCACCTATGGTTTACTGCAGTGCTGACTTTCATTTTATAATATTGGACATCGATATCGCCGACAGTAATCTACGAATAACATACGAAACGGATGCCTTGCCTGTTGACTTTCTCAACAATCGCTATTCCTGCCAAAATTGTCGCTACTCTACTCAGTCCGCGCTCGGGATCTTTACACATACATTCCGAAGATACATTTTACCTGCTATCCTAAGCCGGTATCTACTGCGAATCATTCGCCAACGATATACCGCACGCGCCGTGCGCGAGCATAACCGGGAATTTGATGCGGCTCACCCGTAGAAGAAGATGCATGTGGCTTACGCCACCAGCTACACTGCGACGCCAGCGCAGACAACGGAAATATAAACGCCAAGCAATTTTGGACTGGATTCCATTTTCAGTAGCTCTACCGACAGCTACAATAGCTACAACAACAACAAGAATATTAGTTCCAACACCTTCACAGCTGACTGAATCGGCGATGACACCTACAACGGTAACTCTAACACATCAACAATCAACGTCGTCAGCCCTCACAGCGGACCCAGTACCGACTCATCAACCGAAAGAAAATCAAAAGGAATGTCCGGTCTGTTATTGGGACTTCAATCACAAAAAGAAATTGCTTACGACTGCGGAAATGCGTTGCGGTCACGCAATATGTTCACGATGCCTTGGAAAAGCATTCCAAACATACACAGATGACCTCCGGGTCGATTCCTCTCTTGCTCTCATACCACAACAGAGACCACGTTGTCCAGTATGTCGAAAGAGCATCCGCCCGGAGCGGAGTCGTTTTATCTAATCATGATAATTTCCGTTCTAAAGCATCTCTACCTATCGTCCTTTAAAACAAATTTGAAAATCTTAGTTAGTGCATGTTGGTGCTCTTTTTCTAGACGTTCTTCAGTTGTCTGTTTTCTCTTTTGGTTTTGGTTTTCTCTAGACTATATCTACATGTTGTTTTTCCAACACGGAGGGAAGTGTGGGCTTCGCACACATTGTGTACGTCTGTTGACATACATGTTCGAACGCTTATGTAATGCCTTTGTGTTCTGTTCTTTAGCCAACGTGTTGCACAACACGTTGGCCGGTTTTGCCGTCTTGAGTTGTATAAAGTATGCCGCCTCTCGGTAGAGAGCATGGCATTGCAGTGGTTTTGTTCTTGGCGCGTATAGACATTTAGGCCTTTTTGTGGGCGAGCTCCCACAACATCTACAGGTTCATCCTTCACGCCAATTTGTCACAACATAAGTGTGACGAGTTCTTTTACCTGTGTGTGACTTACTGTGTGTTGTGTGTATATGAGCCCTAATGAAAGGTCAACGATGACCAGTACCTATGTAATTACAAACGAACCAAACAACCAGGTGTGCACGACCTTTTAATAATCTTTGACCATTGCCCACTACAGTATAATTATCATCAGCTGATCAGTATTTTAGAAAAGACTCGAATGAGTACTAGGGCCCGTTCACGCGTACACCTATCTATCTTAATTGCTTAGTGGGATGTGAGTTCAACCGGGGACAACCACCTAATTGCATTAGGTCCCAAAACTGCGTTCACGCAGCACACCTATGCTAACGTTAATTACCTAGCTCTTAATTGATAGATAGCAATGCGCGGCCTGAACAGTGCTTTCCTGTCGAAAGGTACCTTTTCGTTTGCTCCGTAGACACAATGGTTAAGACATATATGAACCACTTGAGGTTCCTTTTTGTATGGACATACACGCTCTTCTGGTTAAAATGCTTTCAGAATGATTATGTAATGACCTAAAAAGATGTTTTGATTCAGGATATGATAACTTGCGTCGTTAATTACCAGTGCAGAGTATCACCGCACATTAGCATGCACATGCAACCTATTTGCCGTAAAGATCACATTTTACACGAAAGCATGCGTCTGCTTTAAACTTGTAAAGGCAAAACTGCAACAACCGCACGGTCACAGTTTGAATGCGCGCAGTCTATGTTGTAATTATTTTTTGAAAACGAAATCTTTTAGCACGGATTCATCTAATTAATCATTAGTTCGAGTCTGTGTGTTGCTGGCAGACACAATGTGTAAGCTGTAAACATTTAACTGAGAAAGAGTTTTAATGAGGGAAATATCGCTGGGTGCCGTACTTACTGGTAAGTATTATTATTTGTAATTGCACTTTGCAGGTAATAAATTTATCGCTTATGACAAACCACTGTTGGTGATGACAGTTGAAATAAAATAAACAGTTTTGTGTTGTAATATCAGTTTATTTATTGAAGCATTGCCCATTGTACACTGTAAATTTATTGTGGTGTGCAGTTCATATTCTTCTGCCAGTGTTACTGCAAATTTACTGTAATGTAATTCAATCACGAAAATAATAATTATTACTATGA